TTGACCTTCAGATTAACCATTGATTTGCATTTCTACATTATATTATTTTCCCATGCCTCTGGGTTTAAAGGAATAAAGGAAGTAGTCAAACTCTAAGGATACATTCAGTTTTTTCTGCTTCTAGTATATTTTGTCATCCCCCTTTACTCGACTCTACTAACATGATATGGGTTTTTTGTGAAATTTGAGATCGGCCGAATCAGCTGCATGTCAGGATTCAGAATAACTGATAAATCTTTTGCAGAACTTGGTAAACAATTTGATATCAGTTGGTGCGGGACGGGAGGCTGCATTTGCAGCTTCACTTTTGGGAGACAATGTACTTATGGAGAAAGCATGGCAGGAAACTGGGATGCTTGCTGAGGCTGTACTGCATGCACATGTAAAATTTCATTCTCTAAATGTTGGATTTCAGTCTATTGATTTAGTAGTTGTTATTAATGGTCTCATTATTTTCAGGCTCATGGGCGACCTTCATTGAGAACCTTGGTCCAGGCATGGAACAAAACGTTGCAGAAGGAGATGGAACACACTCCATCAACGAAAACTGATGCAGCAGCTGCATTTCTGGCCTCTCTCGAGGGACCTAAGCTCACAAGTTTGGCAGATGCTGCAAAGAAGCCACCAATTGAAATACTGCCACCCGGTATGGCATCTCTATATGGTCCTAATCCCGGTCAAGCCAAACCTCTTTTGGGGAAACAGGGCCTTCCACAACCTGGCAAACCACTACTTTTAGAAGGATCTAAAACGACAGCACCAATTGCTTCTGTTCCTGCTGGAAGTGATACAACTGCAACATCAGAATCAGGTGTTCCTCCTAAATCAGAAAATTGGGCTTCAACTACACCGGAATCAAGTAATCCACCTGTGGCGGACTCTGGTGCTGCACCTGCGACAGAAACTGGTGCGGCACCTGCGACAGAAACTGGTGCGGCACTTACGTCAGAAACTGGTGCTGCACCTGCTCTAGAAACTGGTGCTGCACCTGCTCCAGAAACTGGTGCCGCTTTTGCAGAATCAAGTACAACCCGAGCATCAAACTCAGATGCTTCTGTTGCAGCTGAATCAGTTGTTCCTGCTGCACCAGCATTGAATGAAAAACCTTCAGACAATCAGGCCTTGGTCTTATCAACGTCAGCTGTTGTAGAACCAACCACAACAGGTGAAATTGTTCCATCGACTTCAACCACGAGTCAACCTCCTGCACTAGATAATAAGAAACCAAGTGTTCCTGGTGAACTTTTGATGATTGATTTTTCTTGACGTGCTCTTGTATTCTCACCTCCCCTCATGCAGATTCTCTACATATGAGCGGTACGGTTCCTTGCATTACATTTCTTATAATTGTGGAATAGAATCTCTTTACTCTTTCTATTCTTTTAAAGCACTATGCATGCTGCAGCCCGAAGCTGCGTGTTCATTGATAGGAATGTTATCTTAGGTGTTAGATCGGTTTTGTTGTATATTTGTTTGTCCCGTCTGTTCCTTATTCTTTGATTTGGTGAAATTTTGCCATTCACATTATTTTGTGCTCGTCTTCCTTGATTTTATAACCCTTTTTAAAAAAAATTCGACTATACCCCTAATTAATTTTTGCTCCGCCTTCCTTTTTTCTTTTTCCTGTTTCTTTTGATGGATGGAATTAATTTTGATTTGGTTCAAATTCTTAGGGGTAAACATGCTTGTGAGTTGTGACGCTTCGTTTTGGGGCTTGGCATGCTTCTTTAATCACTCTCTATTTCGTGGTATTCAATGTGATCTAAAGGCTTCGAATGTATCACTCATCAGTTTCCTTCTGAATGTGGTTTGTGATTCAAACCAGTCAGATAATAAAAAAAATTCTCATTTCATGCTTGATATACGGAAAAAAATGAAAAGGAAATAAGTTGGTGAGACCTCGTCAAAAATTCGTAAATCGGATGGAGAAGTTTCTACTTAGGTTCAGAACTAATCAACATTTTGGCCTTTTATCAAGTTTGACCAGTAGTTGTACCAAAAAGCAGCAGTAGGGCGAAGTTTCAAAATGGCCTTTGGCGTTCAATTCACATGGTATTTCTGAGTTCCAACTTCCAACTAACATTGCACTAATTGTTATTTCCTGCGCATATATTTTAAGTGCACATGAGAATAGACGTCAAACGTTGAATACTTGAACGCGAATAAGACTTTAATTTGAACCAAACAATCAAACTTTGATCCTAACATCATTGATTAGTAGGATTTGAAATTTATCTTGCACTAATTTAAGGTATTAATTTGTCCATGCGGGCTATTTTTTCTTTTTTCTTGTAACTACTTTAAATAAAGTTATATTGATAACAGTGATCTTATTTTCTTATTGAAGTAATTCAAATATCGTAGAATCAAATCTCTCAATTGTCTTTGGGCTATAAAATAAAAAGTAGATTTCTTGAAAATGATGAATGCTGATCCCATTTAGCTAACTCAATAAAGAAAAAATCCTTCTTTATAAAAATTCGTAAATGCTTTACTCTTATTTCTAAAGATCTCTGTGAGAATATCTTATGAAATTTATTGTTATTTCTGTGACCTAATACTAAAAACAAGCAAGTAATGCATAAATATTATTATCAAGATTTGGTAAGGATTTGTCAAATAAAACCTATTGAGAATTAAAAGATTTATCTCTTAAGGAATTTGGAATGAAGAGGTTGTCTCTATAGCTCAAGGAAAATTGATAACTACAGTTTAAAGTCCAAAAATAACTAATATTGAGTTGATATTTTACAATAGATAAGTTGTCATTTGTTAGAATAAATAAAAAATGAAGAAAAATAAATGATAAATTCATTTAGAATACACAATATTATCTTCTGCTATCTTATCCTTATTGTTTCAAGTACATATTTTTACCAATTTGATTTTAAATATTATACTTTAACTAAATTTTTTCTATTGCCTAATTGTTTTTAGTGCCAATTTTCTCCTTTATAAAAATAAATTTATGTACCCTAACGGGTCTTTTAATTTGCAAAAAGTTATATTGGGATAATGCGAAAATTATAACACGACAATTAAATAGTAGCAAAAATATTTATTGGATATACTTTCAATTGATAAATATGTGATTCATTGAATTCAAAATTATGGAGTATAATATAAAAAATATGTTTTATTTTTTCATATATAAACTTGGATAAAATTTTATTTTTAAATTTAACCTAGGTCTTCTTAAAAGATTTTGGAATTAGCGTTTTGGAGAAGAATACTTTGGTAATTTAATTATTTTACCTGGGATAGCTAATTCTCAAATATTATCCCACATTGAATGTAGAATAAGAATAGTAGCTAATTAAGATTGTGGTATGACTATTCTAGAAATTTCTTATACCAAAAAAAATAAATTAACCAAACATGAAATTGAATAATTCCATATTTTATCCCAAGATTATTATCCTTCAATTTTGTCTAATTCTAAATTTGTAAATATTTCCTTAGTTATTTTTTTCTAACTATGGAGTGTAATTTGAAAATATCACACATAAAATCGATGAAGGGAAAATACTTAATTATTTATTCTAATAGTTGAGTGTAATATTTAAATATTATACTAAAAATCAATGAAGTTTTTTAAAAAAAAAAATTGAATATGAAGGGAGTTCAAGTATTATATGGAAGTGTATTATCTATTATCTATTATTTATTTTTATTTGTATTAAATGCTAGAAAATTCCTATAAATTTAGAAGTCAAATAATTTGTACTTGACTTCAAAGTAATTCCATTATTGTCGGGAGCTATAATTTTCATCGAAGACAATATGCTGTGTAATCGGATTGTTTACTTTGTTGAAATCTTTTACATGTTTTCCTTTTCTTATTGTATTTTTACTAAATCCTAAATGTTAGGACTTCATACATAATTTAAATAAGGAATGATTTAATAAATTAAATTGTAGTATAAGTCTTAAATATTAGAAAAATAACTTAATTTACAATTTTATCCAATATAAAATTTATTTTTAAAGGATAAAAAAGACGAACGATACTTCGCTAAGGGCATTCGTGTTTTTAATATAGTATAGGTAGTCTATCAATGTTGTGGATTATCTGCCGGCTGTTATGTTTCATTGGCGTAGGGAATCAAATCTTTATTTCTATACACCAAAAAGAGAAAAGAATCATCCATTTCTACGGGAATGTAATATATAGTGGTCTCTAATTCCCCCCACTTTTAATTCAAAAATTGCCGAACCATCTTTGTAGAAATAAAAATTTATCTCGTCATTAACGTGGAAATAGAATAAAGATGTAGGAGGATTTTGCTTTCAAGTTTGATGGAGAGGGAAGAGGGAAAGATCACAATGGGAAAAGAAAAGTTATACCATCAAATCAGATAAAGCACTTGATTCTAGTCTGTCTTATCCCATTCCTTTTAAGGGGCAGAGAAAATGATGGAATACTAATCGTATTTATTAATAATAAAATAAAATTTCTAGGCAATTCCATCAATTACAACATATACCCAGTAATTAGAAGTTTATTTTCTTCAAGAGATAAATAAATTAATGTACCTAAGGTGTGAACGTGGCCCTACTGTTGCGGACTAAGTTATTTTGTACAGGATAAATAGCTCATCTAAGGTATAGTTTTACGTCGAACGAAATTCAAATTTCAAAGGAAAATTTTGTGGTCCCTATTTCTTAAAAGACGGTGACACATACTAATAGAAGTTTCTATTTTGAAATTTTCATTTGAAAGAAAAAAAATAAAACTGGAGACAGGAGTACCAGTCTGGATTAGTTTTGCTTTAATTTTTTAACAAGTCCTCGAAAAAGAATTGAGGAAATGTCGCATAGTTAATTGTAGTCCTTAAGAATATATTTGTGAAACTTTACTGACTTAATTTTAATTCAGAAAAATTATTTATTTCAAAAACAAAATTGTTTTTCACAAAATATCTAATGGGATCCTTTAAAAAAGCGTAACTTGTTCTTCAAGAAGAAGCCAAATTAATAAATACTGACAACAAACCAAACGTGTTCCCATAACTCCAAAGTCGCTGGACTTGAATCGAACGCCATATAACACGTTGCTCCCCTTTTCACCTTTATTGTTCCGTCATTTTCCTCTTTCTTCCACAAAACAAACCCTCGTTGCGGCGGTGAAAGAATTTCTTTTTCTTTTTCTTTCCCCAAAATCTCCGATGTCCAAAACCTAGCTATTCTCCTCCGCCGCTGTCGCCGAACAGGGAGCCGAAAATTTCGGTTTTCTTCTGTTCCGTTACTATTATGCCGACTTACACAGCAATAGCCTTAGAGAATCTACTCGAACCTCGTGTTCGTAAATCCTACGGAAAGCAACAGCTAAATGACCAGAAAAAGGAAGAAGAAAAAGTGTTGGAGAATATTCAGCCACCACCGGCGCCGGTGAATCACATATACATATCACCGGCTTTGTATATAACACCTGAGCAAGCTCCGATTCCGGAAACTTCTTCTGGTTCGCTGTCTCCTTCTCCGTATGTAGTCAACCACAAGCGACGTGGCGGTGGTGGAGAAGCCTCCTTTGCGAACCGGAAACTTGATGATAAATTGGAGGAAGCTGAGAAAGTTAAGGAGAGGACTGATTTGGATTTGAAATTGAAAGAAGAGGAGTTAGCTCAGGATAATTTGTTTGAGGCAGAAGATGAAGATGAGGGTTTTTTGGATCCGAGATGTGATGTGTTCAGTGTTGGAAGTGTTAATAATGAGGTGAAAGGACTTGATTGCCGCAGCTTTGTTTCTGTTCAAGGCGAGTTCTTTGATGCTGATGAAGGTATAAATATATTTGCTTCTGCTTTGCATTTTAATACTTTTTTGTTTCTATGGTTTTTATTCAGCAAATCTATGATGATATCCTGTTGTTAGGTTAAGAGGTCTAACTAATTGTCACTATGCATCTGATTTTTTTTTTGTTAAGACCCTTGAGTTTTTTTTATATCTTATTGACAGCATTTCTTGAGGCTAAGTGTGCTCCTTTTTGCAGAGTCAGTTTGAGCAATTTGTCACATATAAGGCTCTAGTCTATAAACAGGGTGTAAAGAAAGAAATGGTTTGCCCGTTTAGATCTGACTTGTTGACTAGAATAGCTCAAACAACCCCCCCCCCCCCCACACACACACAACCCACCCTTTTTAGACAGATTTTTATTGCAGAAACATATCAAAGTTTTGTAGAAATGAGAACATTTCACAAAGGGTGCATGTGGCACGTAGAGGATAAAATAAAATAAGGTTTTCATACATGGTTTGGCCATTTCCTTCGTAGGCCTGCATATACACCTTTTCAGGGTGTGGCAATATATTTAAAGTGATGAAAGGCTATGAGGTAGATCTAAGCTTACACAGAGAGGAATTGTCTCCATAGACTTTGAATTCTAAAATTATAGCTAAGAGCAGAACAAGGTGGAAGGAAAGGATAGATATAGGCGAAACCAATTAGTTGGCTTCAAGGTTTAGTTGTTGTTCTTACTCTTAGATTAGGCGTGATTTGGGATTTTACTGGGTCGTTGTTGTATGTCAGGAGTCATTCATTTTGATTAGAGACTTGTACGCTGTGTGGGTATAATTGTTATATTAGAGAAGTTCTTTTGGCAGAACCCCTAATGTGACTTAATAGTCAGATTGGAATCGGTATACTTTATCAAAAAAAGTCAGATTGGAACTGGAATGAGAATAGGGCGGGATGGATCGATTACAACTACTTTGGAATTAAGGTATATTTGATTGATAGTTGTCGTAGAAGCATAGCAGTTAATATTGTCCAATATTTGGACTAGGGATTTCTACTAGGAGAAACAATACCTGTAAAAAAGAAAAGTTGTATGCAAGAAATTCTTATGATTTTGGCTTAAAGTAGTACTGTTTACTAAACATACTCGAAGGTATGGTGATGAATGACAGCAGGATATTCTATTTTGATGGTTGCTCAGACAAAACCTGTCATGTTTCCTCGATAATTCCTGTAGTACAATGATGAATGTAATTGTTCTTTTATGATAGCTGTCAGAGTCAGACAAAAGAAGTCATGTTTCCTAGGTTATTCCTACAGTATTATGCTTGATTGTAATTGTTCTGATATGATTGCTGTCAGATAAAAAAAAAGTCGTGTTTTCTAGGTTATTCCTACTGTACTATGCTGATTGTAATTGTTCTTTATATGGTACCTCAGATTTCTCCTCAGAAGGGTCAGCGCTGAACTCATACGGCGCTAATATTGAATTGGAACTGCGCGCCACAAGGCTCAAACTCCTTGAGGAAATTGACAGGAGAAAAACTGCAGAGGATACTCTTAATATGATGCAATGTCAGTGGCAGAGCATCAGTAATGTTCTATCTCATGCAGGGTTAACACTCCCGTCACCTTCGGATGTCATTGGTGGTATGCAGCCTGATAATGCTTCAATTGAGCAGCTCTCTCAGGAAGTAATTGTCACAAGATTTGTTGCTGATGCAATAGCAAAAGGTCAAGCTCGTGCAGAAGCTGAACTAGCTGCGGAGGCGATACTTGAATCAAAAAACCAGGAGATTTCAAGGTTGAGAGACCGGCTCCGATACTATGAGGCTGTAAATCATGAGATGTCCCAGAGAAATCAGGAAATTGTTGGTAGGTCTTGCTTCTCTTACTACTTAGTTGCCAATTATAACAACTCTGATAAATGGTCTTACCATCCAAACATCACCCTTCTGCCACGAGTCTATTTAACTTGTACAAACAGTGGCACTGTTATTTGCAACATTGATGTATCTGAATGTTTTGATCAACCATTTTCAAAAGATCTACCTCATCAGTTGCCAAATCTTGGTTTGAAGACCCTTGGTCAGGTTTACTTTTCAGTTAAAGTCTGTTGTAGCTTTGAGAAAACTACCTTATTTTCATCTATTATTGGCCTAAAGACCCTTGGTCAGAGTCTGTTGTAGCTTGGGAAACCTCCATTTTTATTTAGTGTAGTTTAAACAATAATCCCCAAGTACTTGTTTTAACTCTCTCTCTCTCTCTCTCTCTCTCTCTCCCCCCTATAATTTAACTATGATAATTGAATTATATGCTTATATGCCACTAGGAATGATGTCATTTCTTTATCAGTTGACAAATTTCATTTCAAACATTCTGCAGATGTTGCTAGGAAGCAGCGACAGAGGAAAAGAACACAGAGGAAGTGGCTATGGAGTTGTATAGGGCTCTCTGCTGCCATTGGCGTTTCAGTGGTTACTTATAATTACCTGCCACAAACCAGTAAACATCAACCAGTTTCAAACCCCTGTGATTCAACAGGTGCTGGCGCTCCCGAAACTGCGTAACAATATTGGTTAATTTGCTCAGCCAACACGCACACACTCCAGGGTTTTAAGAAGAGTTATACATAGGTTAGGTATTGCGGCAGTTTCACGCTGCAGTTTTGCTCTAATAAAAGTTGGACGAGCTAGTTAATCTTGTTGAAGATGCAACAGTGTTGCTGGTACTAAATCAAGAGGGTTTGCTTAGAGCCTGTGCAAATCAGATTTCAAGGTTGTTAGCTATCTTGCAGTTTGCTCACATAATAATTAGTGTCCTGAGTTTGTACTCAGGTCTGTTGGGCATTTGAGAACATAAATGTCTTTCAATGTTGATGTCTGTATTTGGTACTGTTGCAGCTTGGTAGATAATCAGATCAGTCATGTTTTTATACCATTAGCGTGCAGTAGGCTTATTCTACCTTCTTTCGATCTGTGATATAAAGTTTTTAATCATTTTTTCTGCGCAGTGATTGAGATCTATATAATGTTGTTGCCAGTGCCGCCACTGAGATATTTAAATGGTTTTTGAAGAGGACCAGGGTATGAGAAGTATTAGTTGTAAAGATAACTAGATACACTAGGTGGTAAGAACGAATAAAAGAAGTCTTCTTTGATACCAAGAGGAGCCTGCACATATCTTGTTTTTCTTTTTTATTGGTCAATGTGAAAAGTATTTATCTGAAAGCCGAACAAGTTACCTGTGAATTCGACTCCACTGTCAAAACGAGTTTGGATTTTAAAATGTGAAAAATATCTTCTGTAGGTTAGTAAAGGTGGGACTGTAGTTCAGTAACAATGTAATAGAGCAATCAGGTACTAGTATCAAATGTCAAAATTATATGAGGACAATAATTAATACGTATATATGAGGGACAACTATCATTTGTCAATCGCTTTCCTTTGGTGTTCTCAAGACATGAACATTGCGGAACCTATTAGTTTTTCTGGAAGTTGTTACAAAAAAGGATAATGGGGTGAGAGAGGCTCGAACTCTCGACCTCAGGATTACTCAGAAGCTATGAGACCTACGCGCTAGCCAACTGCGCCACCACCCCTGTTGTTTACATCTTAGTAGACAAATATTATTATTATTATCTTTTTCTCAGAGGAAATGAAAAATAATAGTAATAATTGAATGTTGAGGGCTCTAGTCAAGACAAACAACTTGTAGTACCCAAGTCGAAATAGATGAGGGAATTTAGAAGTACAAATATATGAAAAGTAATATAGACCATTGTATTATGGGTTTTAGAATTAGATTGATGAACAAAAAAAACTCTCGCAAAAGCAGTTGACTGGGTTAATATCTGATACAAAAGTAGCTTTCCCGGTTAATGCCAGATAAAAGTATACAATTGGGCAAGTGTAAAGTATATATGCCAAAGGTGTCAACATATGTCGCGTTGATACCCTTTCACTTTCTACTCGACGTCCTATTGTTTAGGCTTACAATGCGAAGGAGCTATTTTCTCAAGAAAGATAAGAGAAAAATAAAAGTGAAATGCTAGTTCTTGGTTGTAATTTTAGTTTTCCTTATCGGTTTGTAATATCTACGGTTTGACTTCGAAAGGAATATTGAGCAATACTACACTAGGTGGAGATCGTTTCTGGAATCTTTTGAAGAAACAAGAACAAAAGTAGCAAAGAGAACCACAACTAAATCTACCTTCATTCATTCCATTAGTGAACCATAACGGAGTCTAATTCAGGCTTCAGCACCCAATTCTTCAAGTGCTTTGACAAGCTTGACTTGACGATAAGTATGTAATTTTTAGCCTCGATGATGAACTAGCTAACAAACTCTAATTACCAAATATACGTATACTTCTAGGGGTCAGATAATCCAAATTGTATGAACATTAACAATGAGACCCGGTAAAAGAACTGGAGAAAACGATAAACAAGAAGAGCATATGTTGAGTGAAAACACACTTGGACAAATGAAAAATGCATATGCTGAGCTTCTAATACAACTACAGTGCTCAATTTCAAATGATGAATGTGTTACCAACGCACAATACTCGTCATCTGCCACAACCTGATTAGTATCTGTATTATTTCTCATGTTTCCTTAAAATGCACTGTCAATCCTCTATATGCCAAGGTCCAATCAAAATGCAACACACCTGAAGGAGTTACAAGTTCAGGCTTCACCATGAAACAACCAAATGTGAGCAAAATCTGCCACCCTGGACACACTTTTCATCACTTGGTGGCAACTTCTAGTAATTCTTGCCAAGTGGTAAGTTTTTCCCTGGGTTTGTTTTTCAGACTCCCTCTCCTTTTCTCTTCACTGTCGATCTTTTCCCAGCCACCAAATGGAACAATTTTGACATTCCTGCTATCTAACAGTTGGAGGAGGCCCTCCCTTCCGGGCTTTGATAAGCTAGAGCTTGATGTTACCAATCCTCTCTCTACGTCTTCTGATATGCTAGCGACCTGTTATGTCTTAATTAGCAACGCTAACTATAACATTCTAGACTTAACCCAATTAGCTTTGTAAGAAAAATCCTTGGTCATGATGATAAGAATAATAAAGCAGCAGGTTTTGTGAATGATTTGCACTTACAGTTTCTTCAGCACAGTAAAGATTTGTAGCTATTATCCCAGTTGGTCCTCTCTTCAACCACCCACAAACATATAAGCCTTTCTCTACTTGTGCATCTCCAGAAGCTTCGCTTAAGACACGTCCTCGAACGTTTGGAACAATTCCTGGAAAAGCAGCCTCAGACCATTTAATTTGCAACAGTGATGGACCACACAGCAATCAAAGTTTTCAAGCAATTGATGTGAATGCTGAAAACACTAATCCATGGGATGGGATAAAGAAGGGAAGAAAATCATTAATGAGAATGGAAGTATTTGCAATCACTATAATAGATATACAAATGATGAATTGGAAACTTCAACTTATAGAGAGATCTATCCAAGCGATGAGCTTTAAGGGCAGTCAACAGGGTTGACATGATTTAGCACATACCTTTATGGTGATCAAAGGGCAAGCCATCAACAGGTATCGACTTGTAACCAACGCTCTTCAATACCAGCCTACAAACAATTCAGTAAAACACATCAACATTCAGTACAGAACACCAGACTGCAGAAAAGAAAAAAGGAGCCCACTGGTGCAGTGACCAGTGACTGGCCCAGTAATATATATGGCGTTGCAGGGCTGAAGCAAAGGAAGATTACAACAAAATAAAAGTTAAAAAGCATCTTTCTTGGTCTATGAGGACGTGCCCATCGTAGCGTATTGAGTCATTAGTGCAATTAAATTTAGTTGAGAAATATATCAAAAACATGGACTTATCTCATTTCTTTAACTTTAAAGGTTTTTCTACTCACTAGTCACTATTATATCACAGAACCCTACTGGCCGTTCAACTACTCTGCTCACTAGTTGTATCTCCTCAGAGATTGCTTTATCATTCCAATCTCACCACTTCATCTATTATATTCTTCTTCCCTCTTTCGTATTCTTTTTATTCTTTTAAATATGATGGGAATCCATCGAAAGATAGGTTTAGCTGCAAATAAAAAAGGAATAAAAAAGGTTTTTCCTCCCACAGCAATATGAAATAAAATCTAGAGCTGATGGGTTTCATACAGGTTATGAGAGTTGGTAAATCAATTAAGGAAGAAAATTTGTGGGAAACAAAGGAAACTAAACCAGTGTACCCGCATTCCATTTCATCAAAAAGTCCAGTACCAACTGCAATCTGTCGCCCAGAGCCAACATCTTCTGGAGGTAGACAGAAGTTCAGAGTTAGAAGTAGTTATCTCTCATGAACAAGATCTGCAACATGCACATTTACTAAAATATAATTGGTGACATATGCAAACACTAAGTCAAGTCTTTCACATTTTTTAAACCAGTTTTATGCTTGAATTACAGAAACACACAAAAAATTAAGGGGTTATTTGGTTTTCAACCAAGTTTTGTAGATCATGTCTTTATAAGTGAAGATAATGTCCATATAAACTTATACGCACCTCGACTAATTGATCAGGTAGCACCTAACAAAACATAAATCCTCATCAAAAGATCCTTTTGTATACACATCAGTACGCGGGATTCCCCCATCATATCAATAAATCTTTACAACATTAAAAGTCCTCACTGGACAATGTCAACTCCATGCTAAAACCATTAAATAGAACAAAAAGAAGTGCAGAAAATTCCTAGTGAAGAAAATAT